TGATTAGATCGTAGTGTGAGGTGAGGCCTTCTTTTACTCCAGTTAGAATTCCACTTGCAACTTGCTGGTATTTAGGTAGATTGTACAGGGTGTAACCTGGGAATTGGTTATACTTCAGTTTGTCATCCGAAATGTTAGCTTCCATAATTGTGAAAATGTCTACATCATAGGTTTGTATGATTTTCTGTACTTGGATCTTTTTGTCCGGAGACATTCCTCCAGCATTCCACTGGAGGATCTGAAGACGTTGAGATTCGCCCTGACGAGGACGATTTTTCTTATAGCCTTTTTTAAAGTTAATCATAATTAATCGAAGTCAAAAACGAATGCCGAGTGATGGACTTTTTTGCCGTAAGAAAATACGTTGTCCAGGGTGCACCACGTGGAGGTAAGTCTATATATATATATATATATATATATATATATTCATTTTTTTAATATTTATCGAAACAAAGTTTCCAAATGAGAGATAAATTGCTCTGGCTCGTGTGCCAATTCGAGATGAAGTTACTCTTTTTAGTCAATGGCTTATGCACTTTTATGCTTCCTATTAATCTTTCTTTTCTGAATTTGAATAGCTTCCACGCTCGCCCGGGATTTACTAGTGCGAAGTATCTTTCAGTGGGGAAAGATGCGGAAACATTTGATTCCAGTAAGTCGCTCTGCCATTCAAATCTCTCTATTTTCACACAATCTATTCATATGAGTGACTTTTCTGATTTGGTCCAAGTTTAGAACTTTAGTAAACATTTTCACCTTTTTGCAATCAGTCTTATTCTTGAAGAGAAGTACCTTGTAAATGGGAGTGACTGCACGCCATCGTGTTTAAATTCCAAATGCTACCCAGTGTATAAATTGCGAATGAGTCTAATCTTCTTGGAGCACAGTTACTGAGCTGAATGGTTAACTATTATAGCACGAAGCGATAGCAAATTCAAGTATCACACTACGAAATCACCATCTGTCAGTCTATTTCAAATGGGCGTTTTAATGCGGGCTTTTATTAAAATGTTTTTATATGTGAAGCCCAACATAAGTCAGTGAATTGCAGAAAAAAAATTCCCACTGGTCACTAATGTCAATGATCGTGGCGGGAATGAAATTTTGCTTGCAAACAACGTTGTTAATTAAAGTTGGTGTCTAAATGATCAGAACGTTATTGAACGGCGAGTCTTATACCCAGATTTTTTCGAGTGTGTACTCTTTATTGTCTGTCGAATCTGTAGCGGATTGCTACACTAGTAAAGCCTGACTGACTCAGGAATCTCTATGGGAGATCCACCTACATCTAGCTAGACTCCCAGAACCAGCTAAGCTATAGCCCAGCTACTAAGGCAACAGACGTGTATCACGGAGCACGTTTATTCAGGACGGATATTGCGGATCAAGTGTGTACATGGAGGGAGCTTAATCCTGATCAGGATGGGGGATTAGGTTAAACAAACAGAGGTTAATGATTGGTCACTGTTTTTACGGGGTTAAACAAACAGAGGTTAATGATTGGTCACTGTTTGTATGCTCACACCTCCTAATCCTGGCGTGCAGGCATGCGATAACGTGACTTACAAATCTGCGTCCATTTTGCTCTGGTGGGGAAGGAGAACACACTTGTCAGTCCGGTGGGGAATGAAAGATGTGAACAACGTCACACGGTAAATTGACATAAGTGAAGTCAATTAGCACATACTATGATGGAGAGCCTTGAATTAGTTTTATAATTGGGAGGAAGAAGAGGGTGAAGTGGAGTAGAGAAGGAGGCGAAAAATGAAGACCTGTTCTGCGATTCGAGGTTGTGCGAATTGCTCTTCATTGCACTACGTCTGTGTGGTGTCAGCGTCTTGTCCTTTGATCAAGACGATGTTGTTCAAGCCTTATTGAACTTAACCACCAAAAAATTGATTTATTAGTTGCATCATTTCGATGGTTCATTTACACACAAGTAGATATTTGAATATTTACAGAATTCACTCTCCATTTGCCCGTTTGAAGTAAGTACAGAAAGGATCGTCTATTGTCAATCTACGACTCATCCAACTCAGATTGCACACTTGTCAGAAGTTCTTAGCTGTGACAACCCTCTTGTCAATTGAATTTATGTTTAAATTAGCATCGAGTGGCTAAATAACAATAAATAAATTAGTATAAAAGAGATTCTGTTATTTCTTAATGAAGTGTTTAATTATATAATTAGTTAAATTAAAAAAACCCTTCAGATTTGCTATGTAAATAGTTTGATCAACATAGTTTTTTTCCTATAAACCTGTACCGGATCATGCGTGATATTCCCTTTTAATGCTTGTATGGTGCGAAAGTTGTCCTTTCGTTAATTGCCTTCTTCCCACCCTTTCACAGAAGTTTTCAAGTGGCGAGCAGTGAAATTAGCCTGTGAGCTACCTCATGTAACGCCCACACCCAACAGCACTCTCCCAATTAGGCAATTCACAGCAATTACCAAAACTCCCTTATCCTCTTCTCAACCCCCGAAGATCTCCCCGCAAAAGTCCGCTCTCCTACCCGTCGTCTGGATCCTTTCAGTACTCTCCGCCCTTCTCTCACTCTTCTGCTTTTGTTTGCTTTTCGCCTATGTACGAGCGAAGCACAGGCATTTACGAAAATTCAATGGATCAGGAGAACTCGATGTGGGATGTAATGCCAAGTTTCACCAAAACACTTTTCAGGATCATGATTTGACACATCATGTGATGGATGTTTCGCAACCAAGTGTTGTCGTGGACGCAGATTGTCCCTTCTCGACGCACATATCAGCCAATCATCAAACAAAACTGGCAAACCCGCTGGGTTTAATGACACTTTCTGAGCAGCAATCAAAGATTCGAAGGTGTCCTGTTGTCACCTACATTTCCTCACTACCACCACGCAATCCACAACTTAACAATGATCTTGAATTGAACACACTCAAAATCACGCCAATAAGGTCAAAAATCGGCACTTAATGGAATATTATAATTATACCGTAATTATTGGATATCCAATACAGCGGACAATACAAAAATTGTACTTTTGTTTTTCCCTCAATTATTGGCGCAGTGAAAGTGTTCCACTCTACTTTTAGCTGAAAGTGAATAAAAGTTTTTGATGTAGTTTCATGAAAAGACTGAGCAGTTTTAGTAATTTACAAACAGAATCTAATAATATGGAAATGCAAATTTGAAAAATTTTAACGGACATTGGAAAGTTATTTCAGTTCAAGAACAAAAGTAGATTAGTCAATGACCTAAAAAATAAATTTAGATCCCAGAACCAAATAGTTGCTTTGTAAAACAGACAGCCAAACACAGCCATTCATGGCTTTGTCAGGCAAATTTTCTGACTAACAAAATAAATAACTTTATCATACTAGATAATCGATTAAATAGTAATAAAGCGAAAAGTCAGATCCACACAGAGAATGAAATAATAACTTGGTTTATTGGATTTGTTGGTTAAAGTGACCAATGAGGTCGAACTTCAGATCAAATGACAAGGTAGTGGGGGAACGAGCCACCATGAAGCCGGGGATTTAATTTTAACCCCTAACAATTATAGCATTTTGTTATTGGCCTTCCTGGCCTGGTTCATCCTACTTTGATTAATCTCGATCGAATCATTTGGCTTGAGATTGGCGCGATTTTTTCACAAATATGACGCTACTTTCCTCCACTGCTTGCGGATTCCAGACGTACTTTGGAAACCCTCCTTCCTTTTCTTTGCTTGAAGCAATGCACTGGAATTTATGGGTTGCGAGATCATTTTCAGCGATATCTGTTCGTTGCCGCCCATACAATGCGTGGAATGAGCGCAAAGTGGACAACTTTGGCCAATAAAGATGTGGTGGAAGGAATCCGCGTAGTAAATTGAGCAAACAAATGCACATTTTAGACGGTGTTGTAGGCTTCTCGCGGTGGACTTTTTGAGGCGCAATTTTTTCCTTGGGTCAGGGTGAGAATTAAGTCGGAGATTTATTCTCTTCATCGCGGTTTTCACGGTTGGATGGAAGCTTTGCTTGACTTGTTCCACCAAAAAAAGGCAAATTTTATGACTGCAATTTTGCCAACCACTAGGCAAACAATCGTCTAAAGAAAATTATTTGTTGGATAGTGAATTTTACTAATAAACTATCTGAATTCTATATGTAACATATGAAGTTCCTCCTTGTTTCGAGGCTAATGATTATGCTGCAAACCCTCTTCTTTTCATGAGACAATAAATCTTCCTCATTTGCTATGATGAAATAAAGGTTAGCCCTTGTTCAGAGGTTAGGAAAGAGATGGGTCGTATTTGCTTATGTAGACACACAGAATACTTTTATAAATAAAATTGTGACTGCATTTTCCAAATCCCTCGAGTATTTACCAGAAAGAAACAAGTAACTAACAAAAAACCACCAATTATTTTTTTATTCTAAGTGCTCAACTCCTCATCTTTAAGCTTGCAAAGTGCGTCTTCAGTGAAGCTGACATAGAAGTTGAAAGTTGAAAGAGTATCACTTCTTGAGTCATAAACTCCTGTTTCTGCAGACTGCTGTAGAGGCTGTTCAGAATTAAAATTCCAATTAATCGAATTTGACAACTATCCTCTTTTTACATCATTTAAACAAAAAAAGTTGTCTAAAATGTCTCCTGGAGAGCGCAGAGAAAGAGGAATTAACAGATTTCAGTCTTAAGGCAGGGGTTTCTGCATTGCTCTAATTAATGTTTGTAACTTTATTTACTAAATTGTCACTTATTTAACACCTTGTGTTTGAAATTCAAGTTTAAAACCAGTTGTTGAACATCTTAGTAGATGGAGATTTTAAAGAGAAACTGAGTGAATTTAGTTGAACTTTCGAAGCCTAATTTGGCTCAAATTCATACAATGCCAGGTTAAAGTTCACAACCCGGATTTATGTGGATCAAATGGTAGTGCAAACTCCCACCCCTCTTGAAGTATAATGGATCATTTGCTTTAATAACGAGATTTCTTCCAATTTTAAAGTTCATTTAAAAACATGACTTGTTATCTAACTCAACAGTACTGACTTGTTTTCCACCAAACTTCTTCAAACAGTATGACTGCTCAAAAGTGGGCATTTTAAGAGGATAAATTATGCGAATTTATATTTCAAAAGCATTATTGGCATACGAGCCCTCCACGTAGTAGATCACAATTTTAAATTTTAGTTAAAAAACACCAACTTAACCTGATCAAACAGCTCATGAAGCTCAAACATTTGATTGCATCTTTTGATAAATCATAAAACAAAGAAAAAACTGGTTCACAACATTTCATTGTTGCATTTCTATTAATATTTCGGAAAGTGCGGTAACGACTGTCCTCCCCCAATGCTCCTTCCTCCGCCTTCTTCGGTTTCCATAATAGGGATGACCAGTGAAGGGAAATTCCCAGCTCTGACTTCAAGCGCTCGATTTGTTATTCAGAAGCACCTAAATATATTGTTGAAACCAAAGATCGGCGCTTTCATAACTTTAATGAAAATTGGGAAAATAATTGGAATATCCTTTCGTAATTTAAGACAAATTCAAAGATGCCTTTGGCCAGCTACGGTCACTAGTATTTATCGCTGTTTTCATCGAAAATGATCAAGCTTCTTTGTAAAACATTTTGGATGCAACTGCAATGAGTTATTCACGGGGCGAATGACCAAACTCTGCCACCACTAATCAATGTGCTCTCACTGACCCAAATATTCGAGTAAACACAAACAAGGTCTTCCAGAAATTGAGATTTGAACATCGTACTGCAGAAAAGTCTTTCCCCACAGCAACTTCTGTGCTTCTACTTTTAAAGCATGTTCCAGTTAACGTTGAGGAAAAGATTAAACGAGAGGACTCTGCTAGAGTGGAATATGATTATTATTATTATTACGTAGGTCAAAGTTTACTTCTGTAGTAACCACTACGCATGGGTTTAACTTAAAATTTCAGCATCTTTTGACTATTAAAACTGCCAAATTTACATTAGTAAATTCAAATATCAGTTCTAATCAAAGTTAATAAAATAAAAGTACAAATCATTGCATTTTATAAAATGCTAATTTTTTTGTCCAACAAAAATTCAAATACATCTTTTTAAATAATTATTTTTACTGGCATTAATTATCAAATGTATTTTATTTTCCAGGATGCATTGTTAGTGGAGGTTTCATGATAAATGATCTCGTGAAAGTCAGCAATGAGTGTTTTTCATTTCTGCCAATCACATCTCAATCAGTTCTCCCTCTCTCTCTCACACACACACAAGTGCACTTATTCATAAAAAAAATTTGCAAAAAATAGTTTGAATTATGCGGTAGGTTCTTCAACATGAAGCACTGTAACAAATCTTACAGGAAAAAAATTAATAGTTTGGACTTTTCTGTGGCAGATAATGAAATGATTTGAGCAGTTGCAGTGAGCCAACATTTCTACCTGCAGATACTTCGTCTTTCCTGCTTAGATCAGTTGAAGTATGAGAGACAAAAGTGCAGATCCCGGAAATCAAACTCTGCGACATTGGATTGTAGTACACCAAACTCCTCCTACTCTCAAGCAACCCAGCGGTCGACCTGATTTTATCAGAATTTTTTTCCATTTTCTTCTATTTCCCTCACTGAACAAAAAAAGATATGCACTTATAGTTTACTTGTTCCAACTTTCTGGATTTAAAGACAAAACCCTTCCACTTTGCTTTAAGCATTTCAATAAGCATTTTTTGATAGTGCATAAAACCTAACAAATTAATTTCAAGTTATTTTGGCCTAAAATAATTTTTGAATTAAATGTAATACTTTAACCAAAAAATGAAAAATAAAATGAGGCAAAATTTAGCATCTTTATTAAACCTCACATTACTTTTGTACAAATGTAAATAGAATTGTTCAAATAGGATTACATGATTGATCGCTGCAAGAAATTTACCTTAATTGGTGCATATTATTCAGCTCTCAATTTACGGTCATCATGCGGCCTTCAAGGTCATTGCATTTTAACGCATTTCCAAATTCTACAATCAAATTAAGTAGAGCTCTTTCCCGTCGAACCTCCAAATATTTATTTCAATTCACCAGTCAAATTTCTTATCATTTTCACAATGATAATTTGTTTATTTTTTAAAATTTCCATGAATTATAAATGAAAATTAATGTCATAATAATATAGAATGATATTGAAGGTATGCTGCTCCTAAATGAAAGCGCCATAAAAAAATGTTAAGTTCCAAGGAATTAGTAAATAGGTTCTCGTTAATAGCGCATATGAGAGGAACTTTCTTACGTGCTCATTCGTTGAATCAATGCTTCTGTCTCCAACAAAATTTATGCAGTTATTATATTTGTTTAATTTAAATTTATGAGGAATTAGTAATCGAACAAAGGTACTTACCACCCACACAGCATTATTTTGAAGTCGAGGTGACAGCTCTACGTATGTCATTCTGGTCGCATTGCAATACAGTTGTGAAGCAATCAAAACTACCATCAATGATGTTTATCGCGAGACAACCGATTTTTTGAAACAATCTAATTATTTGGTGGATGTCTCGCAGATTTCTACATATCGGCTAAATGTGACAAATGAATTGAGTTGGTAGAGGGGAGGGGGCAATGTACCAAGTACACAATTTGATAACACATTCTCCTTGTTCGTGCATAGCTACAAGTTAAAGGCACAGCTTTTTGCTCGTTTAGGTCATCATCCCGCAATGTACCAATCGCCATTTAGAGCGGGTGCTCCTTTCCTTCTGTCACTTTCTTCATTTCTCTGCTCTGTTAGAGGCTATTCAAGCAGTTCCCACTTTTGATGTTTAATGAACCCCTAATCCGCACTTTCCGATCTGCAAATAATCTAATTAAGAGGAAGCGTTCAAGTTCCGATACGTTTTATCTGCAGATAGAGGTGTCATCTACTTTGGTGCATTCAATCGAAAGACTAACTTACAATTTTTAAATAATAAAATCGGTAACTGAATCTACCAAAAT